ATTCAAGTGCTGAGATTTTAGCTTTAAGTCAGTTCTCATGGCCAAATCCTTGGCTGATTTGAGTCAGCATAACTTCAGTGAAGTTAATAGTGCTAGATCTACTCAAACCAGCGGAGGGTCTGGTCCTCAGTCCACTTCTTCTCCACATGGCCTGGTCACCCTGAGTCTTCATGCTTGTTCCAAGCCATTACACCTCCCACTTATGCCCAAGCTCTGTGTAACGCCATGCAGCCTGCTTAGCAAAACTCTCTTGGATTCAGTCACAGCGCAGCCCCCAAGAGGTGCTAACCAGAAACTCAAACCTATGTTGTACCAAATTTCCTTTTGCCTTCAGAGCCCTATAAAACTGTACCATGTTGTCCTTTGCAAACTGGTATTTGTATGGCCTTATGGATGCTCTTCTGGATGCCCTTGAATTCCACTGAGCAGTGCTCTGCTGAAGTGCCGCAGTAGCTGTGACCTTTCAGCACTCAGAAGTTAAAAGCCGATAGGCAACCATCACACCAGTCTATAAGATTTGCCCTTGTAACATATGGAAACCAAACCCGCTGTGGCAGGACTCAAACCTGCAATCTTCTGAGCTGCCATCAAACACCTTCGCCCTTAGGCCACACAGCTGTTCTGCTTTCAGGTGCTTTATGAAGATGACGAATGTTTTGGCGTTAATTTTCAATCCCAAGCAAATACTTGTGCCTGTCCTTGACTGGTGCCAACACCTCTGTGCACTGAAACTATTCGTGTGTGTGTGTGTATGTACACAAGAGCTAGAATTTCTGCCCAGACATTCTAACATCTGTGTGCACTATTTGAACTCTGTGGGTGTTTGTGTCTGCAAAGCATGGCGGCATGTATGCCAATATGCGGCTCTGCATGCACTCACGGATCCCTGGTAGAGTCGCTGCTGCAAATTTGGCTGTTTAGGTTTGTTGCCGTCAGTTCCCTAAAGGAAGGTCCCCCTGTATCAGTGAAACACTCCTGCAGGAAAGACTTGGCAAAGACATAGCAATTGCCGTAGTGGATCAGACTCCTGGTGCAGCTGGTCCAGTATCCTGTCTAGGAGAGTGGGCAACACCAGGCGCTCAGAGGAGACAGCAGGAAACCCCACAGTAGTCAGATGTGGGAATAATCTGGTCCTGAGAAAGTGTCCCCCAAACCCCTAATAGTTAGAGACTGGCTTAACCCATGAAAGCATGAGGCTTTTTATCTCCCTTACAAAACTTATTTAGCATCTACTATTCTAACTCTAAAAAAGAAAAGGAGTACTTATGTCACCTTAGGGGACACCATCATAGGGCCTAATCACATCAGCCACACTATCAGAGACTTGTTCACCTGCACATCTACCAATGTGATATATGCCATCACGTGCCAGCAATGCCCCTCTGTCATGTACATTGACCAAACCAAACAGTCTCTACGCAAAAGAATAAATGGACAAAAATCAGATGTCAAGAATTATAACATTCAAAAACCAGTCGGAGAACACTTCAGTCTCTCTGGTCACTGGATTACAGACCTAAAAGTCACAATCCTTCAACAAAAAAACTTCAAAAACAGACTCCAACGAGAGACTGCTGAATTGGAATTAATTTGCAAACTGGACACCATTAAATTAGGCTTGAATAAAGACTGCGGTGGATGTGTCATTACACAAAGTAAAACTATTTCCCCATGTTTATTCTCCCCCCCCCCAACTGTTCCTCACACATTCTTGTCAACTGCTGGAAATGGCCCACCTTGATTATCACTACAAAAGGGTTTTTTTTCTCTCCTGTTGGTAATAGCTCACCTTACCTGATCACTCTCCTTACAGTCTGTATGGTAACACCCATTGTTTCATGTTTTCTATGTATATAAATCTCCCCACTGTATTTTCCACTGAATGCATCCGATGAAGTGAGCTGTAGCTCACGAAAGCTTATGCTCAAATTAATTTGTTAGTCTCTAAGGTGCCACAAGTCCTCCTTTTCTTTTTGCGGATACAGACGAACACAGCTGCTACTCTGAAACCTATTCTAACTCTGGGTAATCCGTGTTAAATATCCAGTCCCTCTTTGAATCTTGCTAAATTCTTAGAGAGAGAAACCTGTGTAATTTCTTCAGTGCCAGCTCTGCTACGTCCTTATTATCTGGCCAGCTTACATAGGTGTCTCTGGCCCCTTCAGAATAGTCTGTGAATTCTCCTCTGAGCGCTCCTCTCCCTTTTCAATGTGTTTGTCTTCAGAAAGCTACTCCTGGGTATATACAGATTTTCTCTGACATTGAGTCGTTGAGATCCTCCTCTCGCTATTGTTCTGGCTACTTCTGCTTCTCCTTTCCGATAATATCCCTGTTACGAGGAGGTGACCCGCTCTGTGCACACAATTCTAGGTGTGGCCCAGGGCCATTTCCTCTGAACTGGCTCCCGGGCTGCGCTGATCAGACTGCCCTCGCTCTGCCCAACTTGCCTGAAAGTGTTTGTTCGGTTGTCTCTGTGTGTTCTGGGGTTCAGTCCTCTCTAACTGTACTCGGTGTTCTCTCCCCAGCGGAGCCCAAATTCCTCTTCTTCTGCTCAGGGGCCATACGCCACAAAACACTGAAGATATTTCCCACTCTCTTTGGTTCTGAGTCTTATTTCTTTCTCTCTCTCCTCACTGACTCGTGTAGTTCATCTGTCTGTCCCGTGCTCTGCCTCTGTCCGGATAATACAGAATTGCATCTCCTATTCCATTTCTGTGTCATATGTAAACTTCATGATGGAGCCAATGAATTTCTGCTTTTTCTAGGTCACTGGTATAGAGGGTGGACAACATTTGTCCTAGCTCTGATCTCTGTGGCAGTGTCCCAGCTCCCTCCCTCCACCCCCCCAGCTTTCATTCTCCAGTTACCTCTGCCTTGGTGCTAATAGCAGCGGTAAATATTTATATTATGGTGGAACCCAAAAACCCCAAATGGGGTTGGTGCCCCATTGTACTGGATGCAAAATACTGTAAACAGGGACAGTCCCTGCCCAGGGCGAATTACAATCCAAAGCCTACAATCACCAGTCTCTATCACTTCAGGTACAATAGTTCTTCCCCTGTCCCCTAGTTGTGGGTCCTGTTCCTTGCCTGGTGTTTATATCAAAAACTTCAACTAAACTTAAGGTAGAAGTTTTCTCCAGCAGCACGTCCTTGACACCCTTATATAACTCTTGGGGGCGGGGAGAGGGCCTCCTCTGTTCTGACTAGTACTTCCTGTACCTTCCCCTCTGCTGATGTCATGCTTACAGGTCTGGAGGGCTCCTAAATCTCCTCTACGGCCCATAAGTCTGGTTGTGTCATTAAGTGCTCTCAGCTGATCGGTGTCTCCTTTTCACTCGATGTACTGATGGCTCTTTGTTTTTCTGTCTCATCTGTCAGAATTCTAGGGCAGATCCCGCCTGGGCCTGCAGCAGCTCTGATTTCCTGGTCCAGGGCAATCCCAATTTCCTTTGTCCTCTCCGGGGAAATGTGTGCTTGGGTTTGATATCTCTTCCCTGCCCTCCTTTGCAAATACTAACTGAGGAAGGAATGTATTGAATTTTTAGCAGCGTGCTCCTTGTGTCAATAATTCCCCCCTCTTGCCTTCTCAAAGGCAGCACCGCTATCTGCTTTGCTGATCTCCTGTTCCTTATTTATTGTTATACAGTTTTCCTTTCATTCTCGTCTCTTCTCTCTTTTATCATTCCCTTTCCTACTTCTCTCCTGCACCTGAAATTTTTCATCTCTCAGAAGCTGCTTTCTTCTCTGCAGTTACTTTCTGGATGTTGGCCTCTTGCTAGCTTGTGATGTTACTCATAGTACAGCTCTCACTGAAGAGACATTCATTTTATTCTTGGACCCTTTCCATTTTTCCTTTCAGTTCTTTTCCCATCCATTGTTTTAATCAACTCCATTTTCACCCAGCTTTTTGTGTCCTCTTCCAAAAGTCTCCCCTCCCGTCAACTGAAATCCAGATTTGCCCCACTTGGGTTTACAGAGGTTCCATTTACAAATATTAGTCTCTCATGGTCATCATTACTGTACTAGCAGCTCCCCAGTTCTGTCTCCCCAGTTTCTGTGCCATCTGCAGTTCTCTAGCTCAGTCCTAGATTGTTCTCGTTCTAACTCCCTCCCGCCACACGATCTTTAGACTCTCCTCCCGCCATGAGCTGCTTTCTCCCTGGCATTGTTAGGGTTGCTGAAATGGCTTCTCTTCAGGCTCTGGGCTCCAGGTTTCTTCTGAATTTCTCAGATTCAGCTGCAGGCCAGGCTACGTCTGCGTATGTCTGTGCTTCCAATGTGGACTCAGGGCTTATCTCCACTTACCAGGGGATCGATGTGCAGCGATTGATCCACCGGGGTCGATTTAGCAGGTCTAGTGAAGACCCGCTAAATCGACTGCCGATCACTCTCCCATTGAGTCCGGTACTCCACCGGAACGAGAAGCATAAGGTAAGTTGATGGGGGAGTGTCTCCCGTCAACCCAGCACAGTGTAGACACCGCAATAAGTCAACTTAAGCTACGTCAACTCCAACTACGTTATGCATGTAGCTGGAGTTGAGTAACTTCGGTCAATTTAGCCCCGTAGTGTAGACCTGCCCCCAGATTACTGACTTCTGTTGCCTTCAACCCTAGCACCCGGGCGACAGTAAACCAGATGTGTCTGTCAAGCTGTCTCAGGTGACTCAAGAGTGTGAGTACCAACCTCAGAGCAGACTGTTCAGAAGAAGGGCACAAACCCAAATTGGTTGTGAGTTATATGCTTAGATTTCACCAACCAATTATCAAGTGTAAACTCCTCAGGTGCTATAACAGCCTTAACATGGAGTCACAGACAGACCCTTTGGGCACTCTGTTCTCTCTTGCCACCCAGGTAAGCCTGCCTTTATGATAGATGATTCCTTACACCAAAAATCACAACAGTATTCAAGTTACTCCTAGTCCCAAAGGACCATTCACTTACCCCAGGTCAATTGTACCTTAGATCTCACACCAAACACAACACTTGTAGCCAGTCCTATAATAAACTATCTAAAGATTTATTAAGTAGGAAAAGGAAATGGGAGTTATTTACAGGGTTAAAGCAGGTAAACATATATACACACAAATGAGTTCCAATCTTAAGTTTCAAAAAGTAATAGAAGCTTCTATGATAAGCAAGCTCTCTGTGTCCTTTAGGGCTAACTCAGGGGGATCTTTTGGTTATGCTTAGTAATCTTTGCCCCTCAGACTCCAAGCAGCATAAAACTACAGTTCCTCCTTGTGAAGGGTTTTTATTCCTTCCCCCCCTTCTGCTTCGAGTTGCAAACTCGGCTAATGGGAGGAATTCACTTGCACCTTTCCTCTTCCTGAGGTGTGGGGGAAAGCAAGCAACAAACCCTTTTGTCCACTGATGTTCTGCAATAGTTCGTCTGCTGTTGATGGGCCTTTTTTGTCAGGCAGGACATAACACCTGTTGGAGACTGGTATTTTACACTAGATAATGCTTCTCTCCTGTCTGGTGATTTCCACAGTCACAGAGGCTTGCAATGCAAACACTCAAATATTACCGGGAGACAGATGTTATAAGTGAGATTAATGCAAGCAGCAATTTACAAGCATTCCATGAAGTCTATACCCTCAGGACATTTTTTTTTATCATTCTAATCCCTGTTTTAACAGTAAGCCAGGCTGATTCCAGCTCTGTGTTTGTCAGGATCCAAGTGAGGCATGGGGACCTTGGTATAGGCTGGCACCTGGTTTGCCAGCATCACAGAGTCTCGGACATGTGACTGCACACCAGACTCTAACACTTCTGCCTAGTGTGCCCCCCCACTCTCATGTGACTAATTCTCTTTCCGTGGCTAGGGTGAGGGGTGTGCTACAGGGCTTCTCGGTGCAGGCTCCACACACTACATGCTTGTCCCACATCCTCACAGACAGTCTGGCTGCTAGGTTTGCCTTCTCTCTTAGATGGCTGCATTTACAACAGCTTCTGTTGGTTGCTCCCTCTTCCGTCCCATGCACTGGGGTAGTGGTCATCTCTCTAAAAGTGTCCGATCTTCTACATGCTCTGCCTGGCACTTCTGAAGGTCAGCGCTGTGCTTAGTGTGGTGCTTGACCCATCATCAGCACCTATGGCAGGTGCCACTGGGTATCTTTCTTTAGGTAGTATCCGATCCTGGACTAGTTCTCTGTTCCAGGGTTCCCCTCCACATTGCAGGTCTTGTCCCTCTAGCATGTGGCTCCTTAGAAACTGGAGAGAACAGAGCTGAAAGGGAAGAAGAGAGAACGGATAAGAGTCACTGTAATGTCTCCTGTAACTTGCCTCAGATAGTCCACGTCGGATGCCGATGCCACCAGTAGGTGCTTCCCTTTGGGGATCTCAGCATACACACCCACCACCAGCAGAAAGGCAAACTGTGAATAACCTGGTGCACAATCCATACCACCACTGAAGTTCAACATTCTGGCCCAGCCCTTGGTGTGAATCCCCAAACCAGCACAGATGGAGAGCTGCTGGTTCTAAAGTCTGATTCCTTGCCTTGACTCTGGGCCCTAAAAAGCCATTGCCCTTGGCCCAGTCTCCATTAGTTCGACTCTATCATCCCACAAGGGGCAGAGTGCCTCCTTCTCCCACTGGAGTGGGATGATCACCGAGGTCCAATCCTGGGTACCTGGGCCCTGCAGCCAGGATCATTCTGATGTGCCGCACTCAAGCATTTCTAAGAATGAATTCTAAGTGCCTGAATCCCTACCGGACTGAGCCAGGGAGCCCTTCTCTGCTGGCTCCCTCTCTATGATAGAAGCCCCATTTTCTGTTGCCTCTAGAAGATCATCGCATGGAAGGCTTGTGGTCTGTTAGAGCTGAGCTGCAGCAACATGAAAGGAAGGCTCTGGCATGCCTGTTTGTGAGAAACATGCCACACCCTGTTCATTTTATGGGGGGGTTGTTGTGTTGTTTATTTATCCGTTGCATTAAGGAGAGGTTCTGAAAAGGGATACAGCAAGCTCTGCATATTGCACCACAAGCCTGATCATCAGGCACATTAAAATTCCAAGACAGCTCCTGACAAAGTCTCTCTGTGCTGTGAAAGGTGGCTTGGAAATGCTGGGGAGCTGTGACAGGCAGGCGCACAGGCAGACAAAGAACTCACTGTGTCAGTCTCTGTCTGCTCCAGGAGGAGAAAAAACACATGCTCCCCCACACCGATGCACATCCCACTAACCGTCACGCACACACACGCAGGCCTTCGCACGCGCACACCCGCACAACATCATGAGAAGAGTTTGCTAGCACAGCCTGGAAATGTAAGGCCCCAGGAGAAACGGAGAACAGGCACACACCGCAGTAAACATTGTCATGCAAGTGTGCATGCGCACACACTCATGCACACACAACTTGGAGCCCAGCCGGCTTTCTTTTCATGGGAAGGAGCACAGCCAATGACCACTGAAAAAGCAAATTCCTCTCCAACCATGTGTAGGAGAGCAGTGTGTGTGTTCTAAGAAGGATTCTCTGTCTGGGCTTTACCACTAGGAATGAATCAAAGCCCACTGCACGCCTGCAGGGTGGGTAGTCTAATCACCATTTTACCAATGGGGAGGCTGAGGCCTTAGGGCCCCATCGAAGGTCACCTGGTGAGTCAAGTGCAGAATCAGGAATGGAACCCCAGCGTCTCATTCTAACCAATGGATGGACTTCCTCTCGAGTGACTGTCTGACTCAAAGTTAGGGGTGTGGGTGTGTGCGGAAGGGTGGGATCTACGGGAATATGCCATCAGGCTAATGCAAAGCCAAATGCTGATATTCCCTTCCATTCCTACAGGGCCCTTCATCCCAGACACCTGCGTTAGCAGGTGAATTACAGAGCTCTCTTGCCCTGCTGCTCTGTGGGGGCGGGGAAGCAGCTATCCTGCACCAATGAGCCACACAGGAGCAGGGTTTTTTTAGAAGGGCAGGGGAAGTCTCCAATTCAGACTCTGGGGGATTTTGTGGTAGGAAAAGAGAGCTCAGTAGAACAGGAATGTGATCATTTCTCCATAGTTGTGCGGAGCTGGTGGATCCACATTTGCCCGTATAATGGGGCTACATACTGTGTGTGGCCCTATAATGGGGCCACATGCTGCCCCCTCTCAGGGTTATACAGTCCTCAAAGGCCTCCTTTTTTCCCTTCTGAAGCCTAAAGAAGCTGCAGTTATGGTGTTTCACCACTAGGTGCCGCTGTGGCAAAGCTGTAAAAAAGCAGGTCAGGCCTGTTCTGACCTGTTTGGCGGCTGCTAACATTGCAGGTGTCTCCTTGTACGTTTTATTTATTTCTATTTTTCTTATTTTGTCTGAAATCCTCCCAAACTGAAAAAGCTAGTCTGAATATTAAACTGTGCTCCGAGACTAGACTGTGCATGCGGTGGGGTGGGCATGTCACACGAGATCAAGTGGGGGCTTGAGCCTGGGCAGACAAGGGGATGGCTGGGCGGGTTGGGGGAGGGAATCACACATGCTTCCCCTTCCAGCACAGGGCTCAGAGAATCCAACCTGGCTTCTTATTCTTCTCCCCTATCCCCAAAGGAAATGGATTAGAGTTCTCTAGACTGGGGTCTGTGCGCCCCTGTAATTGAAAGGCAGGTAGATGCAAATGTGTCCCCTACCAGAGATCCCAGCCACCCAGTCACTGGCTGCCCTGCAGGAAGGGACAAGGATGAGAGGCTAACATGCTGATGATGCTTAGCTCTGGGTCTCCTTTCCTTTGGGGCTGGTGCTGTTTCCTTGCTCCCCTAATGTCTGGCACAAGGTGGGTGGGTCCTGGCGAAGGCCAGCAGGTTTAGATGCCATCAAGAGAAGGCGGAGGAGTTGCTGATTGCCATGGGGAGGCATTCGGAGGGCCTGGCAAAGTCTGTATCTGCTCTCTTGGTCGAGGGAGGCTGTGGTTCAGGATCTCGCCCACAGCTGCGATGGCTAGAAATTCCCCCATCAACGGATGACTGGCCAAGAGAGCCTCCCTTCCTCTCGAAAGCAGGCCTTAGGCCTGTCACTCACCTCTTGTGCTGCAGCGTACTCCATCCGTCCTCAAAGGCCACTTGGAAGCCTTTGAGGAGGGAAGACTGGTGTGAGCAAAGGATCAGGCAGACACTACCGTGCATGGGTCTTTTGTAAATACCTACATAGACATGAGCTGGTCTCCATTCTCTGCACCATCTGCCTGTTCAGTGCTCAGTTGAATTCCGTGGTGAGTAGCTCTGGTTGACAATGCCCTTAAGTGGACTTGTCCTCTCTGCCCTGCCTGCTGCGTTTCCCTTTGTGTTGCCTTAAGGATGCTGTTCATGGAAGACAAGGCTGGAACCAACAGGCCCCAAGTACAGCCATCAGTGCCTGTGGACAGGGATGGACTTAGGGACAAGTGACTGCCAGGGGTGCTGGGGGGGGTTTGGGAGGGTGCCAGGCTTAGGGTGCTGTTTTTGTTGTTTGCGACATTTGAAGTAAAATGTTTCAGGTATTCTGTATTGTGGATTCATTTCTCACTAAGAGAATTTAAAAGTTTCTGTAAGCATAGAGGAAGCTAATTTTTTGTATTTGCTTATATACGGCATGAATAAATACAGATTTACAGATCCTAGTGTGCAAATTTATCATCTTATAGGACAGGGATAAATCATGCATGCAAATCGTGCGTCCAAGTCGTGAAGTGAGCTACAAATGCAATAAAAAATAAGATATTCTAAAGTTCAGTGGCACCATTTGGTCTAGGGCCAGCCCTGCCTCTGGATCCCTGAGAGATGGGACTCTAGGGGATTTACTAGGGTGCCAGGGCCATCCACAGAGAAGCTAATGGTGCTGCATAGTGCACCTGTCTGATGGGGCTTTGGTGGGTCCAGGGTAGGGTGGGATTCTGCTGTGGAGGTGAGCAATTCCCCTATACACTAGGTAGCATGCCGGGGAATAAACCCTTCCTTCCTACCCTCCCCCAAGTAGTGACTTCATGATTTGACCCAGATGGCATTTTGCTTTTCCATTGTGTAAATTGGATGTTGCTCTGATTGTTAGTTTGGAAAAATGGGCGATTTCCTGGTATTTGCAGAGTAAAATTGACCCCTTCTGGGTCTGCCTGAGTCCTCATAGAGGACAGGCTGTGGTCTGGAGATTAACGCTGTTGCCGGCCCAGGTTCCATGATCCAGTCTAATCCTAAAGCAGTCTGACCCATGTCCAGCACTCCCTGCTGCCTTCATGGCTCAGCTCCATCCCCAGCAAACAGCTCGTTCTCTCTCTAGGCTAGATCCTGCTCACTATACTGCGTGTGCAGCAGGGGTGGCAGGCCTGTCGCTGGGAGCAGAATCGTCTTCCCGGTCTCGGTGTCACTTTGTCTCTACACACTGGTGAGGGGAGGACACCAACTCAGCCCACTCTTGCATCCCTGAGGCCTTCCCCCCCCCCATATTGTATGCCTCTTCCTGTCCCCTCAGCCTCCTATTTACCTGCCAAATCCTCAGCACAGATCCTCAGCACAAACGCCAAAGGAGGCCCTCAGCTCCTAAAAGAGCCACATAGCCGAGCCCTGTGGAGACTGTGCTCTCCAGCTCAGGAAGGCTTCACTTCTGCCCTTTCCTCAGTGCCACACCAAGCAACAGCAACGCTGCCTCGCCTGCATTGCTGAAGGGAAACCACCACATCTCCTTCCGTATGCACGTCCCTCTGGCTCTTGCCCCCTACGTCAAACTGACAGCAGTCACAACGCACCCAAATCATCCCCCCACTTCACCTCTTCTGCAGAACTGAGCCCACTAAAAGCCCCATTCCAGATTGGTGCTCACTACGTCCAGTCCCTGATTCTGCGCACACCCGTGTGGCATTACTCACGTGCGTAGCTCTATTAAACTCAGAAGAGGAAAGTTGCACCCATGTTGGAAGGATCAGGTCCTAAATCTGGGATCCTTTGGGATGACAAGCATTCTAAAACTGTAGGGCAACAGGATTCTTTTGAAACCCCTCAGTACTAAGTTCTTGGCGGGCTAAGATAAAAGAGGAAGATTCTCGTCTTTCCTTGCTAATAAAGTCTGGCTGGAATGACACAGTATAATCAGTGTTTACCTGGGAGTTTACATACAGTTTATTGTAATTATAGTTTCAATTCCTGCTTTTGCTTTTTTTTAAAACCTCTATTTTTCAATCAGTAAAAGTAAATACTATTTTCAGCCCAATGCAATTCTTCCACTCCCGTGGCCACACACAGCAAGGAGAGAGATTCCATTTGTGAGCTGTGCAATTGAGCATAGACA